ATTACCTTGTTCTGACTTTACTTTCAGTTTATAACATTGTATAAAGTTTGATTTTCTCTTTCTTCAGAGGGATTACAGTACTTGCTGGAAAAATTGCATTGCGACAATGCAGATCTGTCAGGACCTACTGTTGCTGGGATGACCAGTTCTTCTGAAGGCAAGGACGGCGGGAATCAGATAAAAAATGATTCTGAATGGACAGATACAGATATTGATGATCCTCCGGCGTGGAGTAATGAAATAGATAGTTCAGAAAGTAGTGATACATGTAGTGATTGAAATGCTTATATTGGTACCTTAGAATGACAGATATAGATGTAACATAATGGGAGGTCTCGAGTGCCAGAGTCTAAAAGTGCCCTTCACAGAAGTTTTTTGAATGACAGAATAGATAGTAACATAAGGAGGTCTCGAGTGCCAGGTCTAATAAGTGAAAGGAAACACAGAAGAGTTTAAGCTGCAAGACAAACCAAGAAGGATACTAACAAAATACATCCCAGTAAGAAAAGAGATACATGTAGCAATCAGTGTGAGTGTAAGATACATCCCAGATAGAGTGTGAGTGCAAGATACATCCCAGAGTAAGAGTGTGGGTGTAAGATACATCCCAGAGTAAGAGTGTGAGTGTAAGATACATCCCAGAGTAAATAGCCGAGTGTAAGATACATCCCAGAGTAAAGAGTGTGAGTGTAAGATACATCCCAGAGTAAGAGTGTGAGTTGCGAAGATACATCCCAGAAGTAAGAGTGGAGTGTAAGATTACATCCCAGAGTAAGAGTGTGAGTGTAAAGATACAGAGTAAAAGGAGAGTGAGTGTAAGATACATCCCAGAGTAAGAGTGTGAGTGTAAAGATAACATCCAGAGTCTCTAAGAGGGTGAGTGTAAGATACATCCCAATTATAGAGTGTAACTGCAAGAACATCCCAGAGTAAAGCGAAGTGTAACGTGTAAGATCACATACCAGAGTAAGAGGGTGAGTGTTAAGATACATCCCAGGAGTAGAGTGTGAGTGTCAAGATACATCCCAGCAGTAAGACTCGCTAAACCCAAAAGTGTGAGAGTAAAGCATACAATCCCAGAGTAAGAGCTGTGATTGCAAGATACATCCCATGCAGTAAGGTGTGATTGACAAATTACAATGCCCAGAGTAAGCAGTAGTGAGTGTAAGCATAACATCTCCCAGGTCAGGATAAAATGAGGCAACAGACACAAAAATGTGGAGGTAAAAGATTACCATCCCCAGAGTAAGAGTGAGTGCAAGAATAAACATCCAGAGACAGTTCTAAGCAGTGTTAAGAGGATCATCCCAAGAGTTTAGAGAACATGTGACGTGTAGATACATCACCCGATAATGAGTTGTGAAGGTGTAAGATACATCCAGAGTAAGTAAGCGCAGTGTGAGTGATGTAAGATACATCCCCCAAGTAAGACGTGTGAGTGATAAGATACACAAACGCCAGCTGCTCCCACAGTAAGAAGGTGAGTGCGAAGTATACAATCCCAGTAGGTAAAAGAAGTGTATAACAACTAACATATCCACGAGCCAAGCTAAGAGTCGGAGCCAGTCTAAGACTACATCCCAGAGAGCTGGAGTAAGAGTGTGAGATAGTAAGATACATCCCAGGCAGTAAAGCTAGTGTGGGTCGTAAGATACCATCCACGCTAGTAGAGTGTAGAGTGTAATGATACAACATCCCCAGGTACCTCAGTAAAGAGTGCTTAGTGTAATGTATACATCCCAACACGTAAGTAGTGTGAGGTGCAAGATACATCACAGAGCTAAGAGTGTGAGTGGAAGGATTACATACCCAGAGTAAGGAGTGAGTGTCAAGACATACATCCCAGGAGTTAAGAGCTGTGCGAGGCTGTAAGATTAACCATCCCATGAGTGAAGAGTTGAGTGAGCAAGATACATCCCAGCGGAGTAAGAGTGTACAGAACACTCCACGCAGTAAGAGCTGTGAGTGCAAGATACATCCCAGGACGTGAAAGAGTGTGACGTGTTAACATACATCCAGAGTATAAGAAGTTTGAGCTGTGAGATACATCCCAGAAGTAGAGTGTGAGTGCAACGCTACATCCCAGCAGTGTTTAATGAAAGTTGTGAGCTGTAAGATACATCCAGAGTAAGAGTGGAGTGCCAAGATGACATCCCCGCGCCAAGTCTCAACAAGAGCTGTGATAGACCTATCAATCCAGAGTGAGAGTCGCTGAGTGGTAAGATAACATCCCAGGGAGTAGAGTGTTGAGTGATAAGATAACATCCCAGACGTAAGAGTAAGTGAGTGTCTAAGATAACAGTCCCAGCCAGTAAGAGTAGTGAGATTGCAAGATACTATCCCAGAGTGAGAGCTGGTAGAAGAACCGGTCGAGCGTAAGAACATACCTCAGCCGGAGTAAGAGTGTGAGTGTTATAAGGATACATCACCAGAGTCCCAGTAAGAGGTGAGTGAGAGTGTAAGTCTCTTATCACTCCCAGCAACGTGAGAGAGTGTGAAGTTGTTAAGATACACCTCCCAGAGTCAAGAGTGTGAGTGCTATGAGATACATCCCAAGGATCAAAGAGCCTGCGCTAGCTGACAACATACATCCCAGCCTAGTCAAGCAGTGTGAGTGCAAATACATCCAGAGTCAAGAGACTGTGAGGGCAAGATACATCCAGCAGTGAAGAGTGTGACGTGTAAGAACTACATCCAGAAGTATACGGTGTGCCCTGCAAGATACATCCGATATAAGAGTGTGAGTGCTAACATAGCCAATGCCTACCAGAGTAAGAGTAGTGCAGGTGCAACTATGAGTCACATCCAGAGGTAAGAGTGTCGAGTGTAAGATACATCCCAGCGCAGTAAGAGTGCGTGAGCTTGTAAAGATAACATTCCCAGATATACGAGTTGTCATCTTTAAAGAGCGCTGCAAGATACATCCCAGGAGTGAAGAGTGTGAGTAGTAAGCATTTACATCCCAGAGTATAGAGCATGATTAGTGCGTCTAACGTATATTCACTCCCCAAGAGTGTGAGCATGTGTGTTAGTCTGTATAAGACACATCCCACGAGTGAAGAGTGTCGGACGTGCTAAGATACAATCCCCAGATCTCAAGTCTAAGAGCTGTGAGTGCAACGATACAATCCCAGAGTAAAGAGTGTGCATGATGTTAAGATAACACCGCCCAATAAAGAGTGTAGCCTGCAAAGATAATCCCACGTAGGTAAGCAGTGTGAGTGTAAGATACATCCCAGAGTAAGAGTGTTGAATGCAAATACATCCCAGAAAGTTAGAGTGTGGAGTGCAAAGATACACTCCAGAGTACAAGAGTGTAAGATACATCCCAGCGAAAGAGTTATGAGTGTTTAAGATACATCCCAGCCCGTGAGTCTCAAGATGTGTGATGCAAGATACATCCCCAGTAGTAAGAGCTGTTGAGCAGTGTAAGATACATCCCAGAAAGCCAGTGTGAGCTGCAATGATACATCCCCAAGAGTAACCTAACCGAGTGTGAGTCGTCAGATATCATCCAGAGTCAGAGTGTCTCGCGAGTGTAAGATACATCCCAGAGTAAGAGTGTGAGACTGCAAGGATACATCCCCAGGCCGAGTCAAGAGCCCACTGATCCGTTGAGTGTAAAGATACATCCCAGATTAGAGAGTGTATGCTGCAAGATGTACATCCAGGCGAGTAAGAGTGTGATGTAAGATACATCTCTCGAGACGAGATAAGAGCTGCTGGCAGTGTAGATTACATTCCCCAGAGAAGAGCCTGCACATGATGATGCGATAAGATACATCCACACATGTACATAAGAGTGTGAGCGTGTAAGATATCATCCCAGAAGTAAGACGTGTTGAGCTGCTAAGTAACATCCCACGTTCTAAAGCGAACGGGTTGAGTAGCAAAGATACAGATCCCAGAACGTAAGAGCTGTGAGTGTAAGAACATCCCAGAGCGTAAGCAGTGTGGATGTGCACAGATACATTCCCAGGTATAATGAGTAACGAGGTGAGTGTAAGATACATCCAGATAAAGTGTAGCTGCCAAGATACATCCCCAGAGTAACGAGTGTGATGTAAGAATTACATCCCAGAGTAAGAGTGAGAGTTGTTAAAGATACATCCCCAGAGCACAGTAATGAGTGTGCAGTGTAAGGTAAATCCCAGAGTAGAGTGTGAGTTGTAAGATACATCCAGAGTAAGAGTGTGAGTGTAATGATACATCCCAGAGTAAGAGTGTGAGTGTAAGATACATCCCAGAGTAAGAGTGTGAGTGTAAAGATACATCCCAGATAAGAGTGTGAGTGCAAGATACATCCAGAGTAAGAGTGTAGTGAGATATCCCAGATACACCAGAGTAAGAGTGTGAGTGTTAAGATACATCCCAGAGTAAGAAGAGTGTGAGTGTAAGATACATCCAGAGTAAGAGTGTGAGTGTAAGATACATCCCCAGAGTAAAGAGTGTGAGTGTAAGATACATCCCAGAGTAAGAGTGTGAGTGCAAGATACATCCCAGATAAGAAGTGTGAGTCATCCCAGAGTAAGAGTGGAGTGAGATAAGAGTTCCAGAACAGAGTGTGAGTGTAAGATACATCCAGAGTAAGAGTGTGAGTGGAAGATAATCCCAGAGTAAGAGTGTGAGTGTAAGATACATCCCAGAGTAAGAGTGTGAGTGTAAGATACATCCCAGATAAGAGTGTGAGTGTTAAGATACATCCCAGATAAGAGAGTGTGAGCCAAGATACATCCCAGAGTAAGAGTGTGAGTGTAAGATAACATCCCAGAGTAAGAGTGTGAGTGTAAGATACATCCCAGAGTAAGAGTGTGAGTGTAAGATACATCCCAGAAGTAAGAGTGTGTGAGTGTAAGATACATCCCAGAGTAAGAGTGTGAGTGTAAGATACATCCCAGAGTAAGAGTGTGAGTGTAAGATACATCCCAGAGTAAGAGTGTGAGTGTAAGATACATCCCAGAGTAAGAGTGAGTGCAAGATACATCCCAGAGTAAGAGTGTAAGATACATCCCAGAGTAAGAGTGTGAGTGCAAGATACATCCCAGAGTAAGAGTGTGAGTGTAAGATACATCCCAGAGTAAGAGTGTGAGTGTAAGATACATCCAGAGTAAGAGTGTGAGTGTAAGATCCCAGAGTAAGAGTGTGAGTGCAAGATACATCCCAGAGTAATAGTGAGAGTGTAAGATACATCCCAGAGTAAGAGTGTGAGTGTAAGATACATCCCAGAGTAAGAGTGTGAGTGCAAGATACATCCCAGAGTAAGAGTGTGAGTGTAAGATACATCCCAGAGTAAGAGTGTGAGTGCAAGATACATCCCAGAGTAAGAGTGTGAGTGCATCCCAGAGTAAGAGTGTGAGTGCAAGATACATCCCAGAGTAAGAGAGTGAGTGCAAGATACATGAGTGTGAGTGTAAGATACATCCCAGAGTAAGAGTGTGAGTGTAAGATACATCCCAGAGTAAGAGTGTGAGTGTAAGATACATCCCAGAGTAAGAGTGTGAGTGTAAGATACATCCCAGAGTAAGAGTGTGAGTGTAAGATACATCCCAGAGTAAGAGTGTGAGTGTAAGATACATCCCAGAGTAAGAGTGTGAGTGTAAGATACATCCCAGAGTAAGAGTGTGAGTGTAAGATACATCCCAGAGTAAGAGTGTGAGTGTAAGATACATCCCAGAGTAAGAGTGTAGAGTGAAGATACATCCCAGAGTAGAGTGAGTGCAAGATACATCCCAGAGTAAGAGAGTGTGAGTGTAAGATACATCCCAGAGTAAGAGTGTGAGTGTAAGATACATCCCAGTGTAAGATACATCCCAGAGTAAGAGGTGAGTGTAAGATACATCCAGAGTAAGAGTGTGAGTGTAAGATACATCCCAGAGTAAGAGTGTGAGTGCAAGATACATCCCAGAGTAAGAGTGTGAGTGCAAGATACATCCCAGAGTAAGAGTGTGAGTGTAAGATACATCCCAGAGTAATAGTGAGAGTGTAAGATACATCCCAGAGTAAGAGTGTGAGTGTAAGATACATCCCAGAGTAAGAGTGAGTGATACATCCCAGAGTAAGAGTGTAAGATACATCCCAGAGTAAGAGTGTGAGTGCAAGATACATCCCAGAGTAAGAGTGTGAGTGTAAGATACATCCCAGAGTAAGAGTGTGAGTGTAAGATACATCCCAGAGTAAGAGTGTGAGTGCAAGATACATCCCAGAGAAGAAGATACATCCAGAGTAAGAGTGTGAGTGTAAGATACATCCCAGAGTAAGAGTGTGAGAGATACATCCCAGAGTAAGAGTGTGAGTAAGATACATCCAGAGTAAGAGTGTGAGAGATACATCCAGAGTAGAGTGTGGTGTAAGATACATCCCAGAGTAAGAGTGTGTAGTGTAAGATACATCCCAGAGTAAGAGTGTGAGTGTAAGATACATCCCGAGTGTGCAAGATACATCCCAGATAAGAGTGTAGCTGCAAGATACATCCCAGAGTAAGAGTGTGAGTGTAAGATACATCCCAGATAAGAGTGTAGGTGCAAGATACATCCCAGAATAAGAGTGTAGCTGCAGCATACATCCCAGGGTTAGAGCAATTACAACATTATTTTTAGTTTTTATTATTATTATTATTTTATTTATATTATTTTATTTATTGTGTGTGTGGGGGGGTCTAGAAAAGAAAAAAAGTTTTCCTTTCTGTGTGTAAATTATGCATATCATTAAAATATATTTTTAAGTTTTCTTTTATGTCATTTTATACAAACTAGAAAGTGGCTTTACATAATTCTGTCATGTGTATGCTTTGATTTCTTTTATATCTGTAAATGTAAGTGCATCTCCTAAAACTTGTGATTATTACAATGATGTACAACAAAGAGGTATTTTAATAAATATGAGTAGTCTACTTTAAATCATTATTTTAATCCTCAGTAGATGAATACTGTATGGGGTAATTGTATCAACATTCAATAAATTCAGCCCATTTTGATACTAACATTTTTCATACTTCTTATATGTACACATGAATACACATACATGCTTCATGTTCATGGTGATGTGAAGCATGGTGTGGCAGCCTAGCTGTGCATAATCCTCCCCTGCCAGCTCTCAAGACATCTGCAGTGTCTCCTCGTGGCCACTCATGGAAACTAGGTACCTTGAGGTCCTAGGCTGAACTGTGGAGGCTCTTAGAGTAACAGGAGGCCCTAAAGGCACGGAGTCATGGCCCATCGGTGTGTGAACACGCCCTGGCTTTGTACGGTCTCCTGCCCTCTCGTCCTCGAGGGTTAATGGGTGGCTGTTGGGAAGCGGGCCTTGTCAGTCCGCCTCCCGAAGGGAACCCAACTGGCAGTGGACCATATAGATTATGGTGGTGGTGGCGACTACGGTTTCCCGCTTGCCATTATCCTTTTTGGTAAAAATAGAGGCTCAACGATTACTAAAACGACGCATGTGGGTCCTTTGTTGTTGCAGAGAATAGTAAAGTGTGCATCATAATCTACCGCAAGAACTTCGTAGAGGAGGAATATATGCAAACTTGTATGAGGAACTTGGAAGCTATGCATATTTAAACAATGATGACGTCATGGATACTTTCAAATGAATTTCAGTGTAAAAATAACAAATACTTAGAAAATATGAGGGCATAATTTGCAATATCTACTTAAAACTCATATGAAGTGAAATGCATATGATGATTATTGTTTGTGTAGTTTTCTTAGCAGACGACAGACACTTTTGTCATACCCATTATCACCGATTTCCAAGCGATGCATATTGTCCGCTAAGACTTGTGACTAAGCAGTAGATTATGCAAACTCGGATGATAGGAGAAGTGGAAAAGTTCAAGGTACCTCCACCTTTCCTCTGGGTTGGCGACCGCTGGGAGTCGGACTGGGAGCTGGAGTTTATCGTCCCATCCATATTCCAGTGACGTGGCGTGAGGCTCGTGGGAAAAAATGTCGGGTCTTAGCATTGTTTGCAAGTCATACGTAACAAGTGCAACACGGCACTAGTGTGAAAGGTTCTATATATTTCTGAATGTTCGTTTTCAAATAGCGTGCAGCGTGCCATGTGACTCTTCATTTGAAAGCAAACATAAGGAAACATATGAAACCTTTCACCTAGAAGTAGTGTAGCAAATCTCATTTACATTTTTTTTTTCTTTCTTTTCTTTTTCTTTAGTGTGCGACCTGCCACCTTGGGCAGTGTTGCCAGATTTTAGTGGACCTTTTACATCTAAAGTCATCATTTTTTAAGTTAATATTAAAATGATAAAATTGTATAACATATTTAAAACTTTTTGAAGTATGATATATAGAGTAGTTTTGAAAGTTTCATGTAAGATTCCAAGAAAAACACAACACGGCTTCACACACCAAGTGAATGTGGCTTTGGGTGAGGGGGTAATAACATGCTGTCTTGCAGGAGATACAGTGCAGTGTGTCATCCACTTTATTCCTCCAAGTGGCAGATAGATAATTGTCACAAGATTACTTAGGACTTGGGACAACAATAACATCGTCAACCTCCGATGCCTTCTTATGAACCAAGTAACATTTCTCAAGTGTAACCTTGATCCGAAATCACCTTGCCATCTGCCACATGCCTCCTTGGTGTGACAGCAGCAGAAAGGTACTTAAACAACAAAGTGACACATCGCACGCCACTTGAAAAGGAACATATGGAAACATATGATACCTTTCACAGAAGTGGCGTGGCACGTAGCATTTGCCATGTGCGAGTCTGGACTTGCCTCTTTTTTTCTTCTTTCTTCGGCGTGGGACCTGCCACCTCGGACTGTGTTGTCAGAATCTGATGGAGATTTTACATGCAAATTTACTATTAGGTAAGTTTACGTAAAGATTTTGAAATATAAAATATAGTATAAAAAATAAAGACCTTCGGGGGTATAGCATACCAAGAGTAGTTTTGAAGTGAGAAAGAAAAAAATCTGCCAAACACCTCTTACAACACGGCTTCGCTCGCCCAGTGAATAAGGCCTCGAATGAGAGGTTAATCAAACGATCTGAAGGTTGCCTTCTATCGCGCACAGCTATGCCTCTTCCAGACAATGAGCCAATCAATATAACATTTCTACGGTGGTAGAATTATCAAAATATTTTTCCTCAAGCATTTCAGGTATTGGAAAAGTTTGCATCCACTTTATTCATCCAAGTGATAGATTGATCATTGTCACATGATTACTTTGGACTTGGAACAACAACAAAATCGTCAACCTGCGATGATGCTATCTTTTGAACCGAGTGCACGCACCACGTGTAACCTTGGTCTGAAATCACCGTGCCACGTGTCATTATTTGCCACTTGCCAACTGCTACTTGCCACGCGTGATGTACCACCACGGTGTGAAAGCGTCCTAAGAATGCACACTTGGGTCACATGAAGTGATCTCCTTGATATAATATAAACATTTGCAGAAATTTTAAACAGGTCAGAAATAGCCTAAGGAGCATTAGTTTATTTATCATATCCCAGGTCGATATTCATCATCACAGTGTAAGTAGAAACAGCAAGTGGATCACACCTCAGAACCATCCATTCCCTCTCTAACTTCTCTGGGCGCTCCCCCTTGTCCCTTGCGGCGAGGCGGCAAGCCCCTTTGGCGGTTTACCTTTTGAGGGCCGTGTGGATTCCAGGGTTTGTTTGGTGAGGACGGTTAAAGAGGTTTATAGACTCCTCCGTAATGGATGACCCTGATCTTTTGGTGTTGAAGCAATAGACTCTTTGACGCATACGTGTTTAACTGCTTTCAATTATACTCACCCCTTATAGACAACTTTTCTGTCAACATCATTATCGGCATTAGGATGCTTCTTTGTTCACCTGGTGAACTGGACCCCATCTTCGGGCTCGTGCTCGGAAGTGAGCAGAACTTTACCTCCCGCAGGCGAGAGTGTGTCTAGAGGGCCTTAGTATGCCTGTCCTATGGTGATATATGTATATATATATATATATATATATATATATATATATATATATATATATATATATATATATATATATATATATATATTATATATTACATATATATATGATATATATATATATATATATATATATATATAATATATATATATATATATATATATTATATATATATAATATATATATATATATATATATATATAATATATATATATATATTATATATATATATATGTGTGTGTGTGTGTGTGTGTGTGTGTGTGTGTGTGTGTGTGTGTGTGTGTGTGTGTTGTATATGTATAAATTTATATATGTATATATGTATATATATACATATATATATATTCATTATATGTATATATATTATATACACACACACACACACACACACACACACACACACACACACACACACACACACACACACACACACACATATATATATATATATATATATATATATATATATATATATATATATATATATATACATACATACATATATATACATACATAATATATATATAACATATATACATATAATAACATCATACATATAATTACATAATTATATCACATACATATATATATAATATATTATATATTATATATACATATATATATATACACATACATACATATAAACATACATACATATATATTATATATATATATATATATACCATATATACCTCTATCTATATTCTATATATATACATACATTACTATATTATACATACATGTGAGCTATATACGTAATATAGTATTAATAAGATATCATATAATAAGTCAATAATACGAATAATAAAAGTAATTA